GGTTCAGATTCTGTGCCTGTATTTCTGAGGCCCAGAGGAGCTAGCCAGGCCCCACCTGGGGCTCCCCTTATTTGCACTCAGATTGCCTTCTGAAGAGCTGTCATCTGCTCCTCCATCCTCCAGCACAGGGCCAGCCCTATGCCCCTAGCCATCTTCCAAAGCCCCAGGGACCTGTCTGCGGGCTCTCTCCAGCTGGGGCTGACCCATCACAGAACAGCATAAAGGCCCAGGTCCCAGCTGAGCTCCTACCCTCCGATTATCCCAGATTAGGGAGCCTGCGACCATCTGGACACAGCTGATAATGGCAGAGGGGGAGGGGAGTGGGGTAGAGGCCCAGCCTCAGAGCCTTCCTGCTCCCACCCCATGCATAACACCCAGGACAAAGCAAAGGTGCTGCACTGCTTGCTTACCCAGGCGAAAGCCAGAGTGGAAAGGGTAGGGGCAAATCCAGGGCAAGCTCTCCCTGGAGACATGGGCATCTTACCCAGGCTCAGCACTTCTGTGTAGCCAGACAGATTGCCCAGTTTCCCCCATGATGGCCATTTGTGCCCCACTGCTTGCTCATGCAAGTGCCAATGCCCTTTCCTGCTCTGTCTGCCTGGGCAGACCTGACACCATCCACCCAAGAGCTGCCCACTCCCTCCTTGTACCCCTTCCTTATCAGCCCTTCTTCCATCACCTGACATATGGCCAGGCCTTTGTGTGACATATCTGGTCTCTCCTGACACATCCATAGGATACCTCTAGAGGCAGGAAAGGTGTCACCATCTCTGGGTCCTCCTGGACTGGAACAAACCCTTCCACTGAATACATGAAATCAAGGTTTCCTGGATTTCTATCTCATAATACCTGTGAGGTAGGTACTACTGCTCCCCTCCCCCGCCCCCACCTCCGATTACAAATGAGTAAACAGACTCAAGAGTTGTGAAATGACCTGCTAACTAAGGTCACAGGGCTGGTGAGTGGTGGCAGAGCCAGGATTCCAACTCGGGTCCAGTTATCTCCAAAGTCTGCTTCCTCCATGCAGCCTCTGCTAATCTGAGAAAATGGTGTGGGGCACAGCAAAGCAGTTGTTTAGAAGTAGGAGATACATCATTTCCACGTGGGAAATTCCAGCCTGAAAGGATACTGTCCCTGACCTTCTGGGGTTCCGACTTGATGAGACATGGTGCTTGTCCCTGGTGAGTGAGGCTCACAGGAACACAAACAAAAGGTGACAGCCATGCGTCCTAATTTCTAGGACTACTGGTTAGACCGAGACCATATACAGAGGATCCCCCGGCTCCTAGTCCACTGCTCTCTGGCACCCCAGGCTGCCTGCTGAATGTGAACTGTTACCATTCAGTTCAGAGGGAAGCCAGACAAGTCCATGACCCCTTAGCCACACGTGGGTTTGCCATCTTCTCACCGGCTGAGAACAGAGACAACTCTTGGTATGCAATCAGAAAACGATGAACCCAAATTTAATTTTTGAGTTTCTTTTTTGAGTAAATCTATTTGTAAAGATTGATATTTTATGACTGTAATTCTTTTAGTGGGCTTTCAAAGAACAAGGAGAACTTTACTTCTTACATAATAGAATAAGACTTTCTATTTTGTAATCACTATAGAGACTTGTTGGATTCTTTTATAAATCTGAAACATATCCATGCTGTATATGCTACCCACCCATTAGTACAGGAAAAAACATAGTATATGTAGAGTTCCCTACTATCTGCGGTTTTAGGCACCCCCTAATGTCTTGGAACATATCCACTGCAAATAAGGCGGGACTACTGTATTAAGTTGTTCAAGAGGAAAGATTCCATCACACAATTCTCTGTGACAAAAACCTGGACTATCCCATTTTGCTCAAAGATAATGTGACAGTATGTATCTTTTATGATGACTATGCCCCCAAATTTACTTGGTAGTTTGTTACAGTTCATAGAGACAAGCTGAAGGCAGTTGTACATAAAGATGAGTGGAGAGAAACAGATGCTGTAGAAATTTTAAAAATTCATTGGTCATTTGAATTGACCTTTATAAATCTAAAAGTGAAAATGTTTTAAAATTATGAAGCAAAGAAAATGGCTATCCTCTCTTCAACCAAGTTCTAAGCAACCAAATTTTTTTTTTTTTTGCGGTACACGGGCCTCTCCCTGTTGTGGCCTCTCCCGTTGCGGAGCACGGGCTCTGGACGCACAGGCTCAGTGGCCATGGCTCACAGGCCCAGCCGCTCCGCGGTGTGCAGGATCTTCCCGGACCGGGGCACGAACCCACGTCCCCTGCATTGGCGGGCGGACTCTCAACCACTGCGCCACCAGGGAAGCCCCAACCAAATTTTTTTAAGGCACTGTGTTGACAATCCAAGTGTAATACAAAACAAAACCAAAAAAGCCCCAGAAGCTAGAGCTTATTAGAGATGTATTTGAAATCTGGAATCAGCAGCTACAAGATGAATACCTTCACTTCATGGCAGCTGATAAACATTTCACTGCCTTCAAGTAACACTGCTCATTTGGGGTATATATCCTTCTAGACAATGAAAATGTGAAGTTGTTTGCTGTTATAACTCATATATGTATGTATATGTATGTATACACATACAAATATATGTATATATGTCAGCTCTATTGAGATACAATTCACATACCATAAAATTCACCCATTTGAAGTTTACAATCCAGTGTTTTTAGTATATTCAGTTATGCTGTTAATAATTTTAAATATTTTTGGATACTTGTTAAAATTTATAATAAAATTGACTTTCACTATCCCTTTATTCTTACTTACAGGGACTTAAAATATAAAAGAGGGGTATTTATGGGCCCAGGTAGTAAATAGTGATGGCTATTTTTTCTGGTATATTAAGGGTAAATCAATGAGTAAAAGATCCATTTCCTCTGGTCCCCCTCCTGATGGGAAAGCAGCCCCCCTACAGTACCTATGCTCTCCCTTCCCCTCCCTCTGTAAAGCAAATTCATTATTAAAGGTTATGGGAGCCTACCCTCTCTAGGCAATTTTGGATTTTAATGGCTCCAGCTTCTCTGGTTCACCACACAAAGGACTGTCGGGTGCAAGCTCATCATGGGGGCAGTCAATGGCTTGCCAATGAGGGCAGGATGAACCCATCATAGCTGTCCTCACCAGAGGACAAAGGCCAGCTGCACCTGGCTGGCTGAACTATTAGTGCAATACAGGACTGAGCAGCAGAGGTGTGGTTTCATTTGAATTTCAGAGCTACAGGTCTCCACCTTTTTTGTTGTTGTAGAAACAAGAGTTTGGGATCAGATAAGTTGTTGCCAATCTAGGATCTCATGTTACTTGTTCTCAAATGAGAAGTGGTAATCTCTCTGAGACAGTCTAAGTACAGCTGACCCATGAACAATATGTGTTTCAACTATACCAGTCCACTTATATGTGGATATTTCTCAATAGTAAATAGTACAGTACTACACTACCCGGGGTTAGTTGAATCCACAGATTCTGAACAGCAGATATGGAGGAACCGCATATACAGAGTTGACTGTTAAGTTAGGGTCTGCACCCCTGATGCCCCCATTGT